GTACAACCTGTATTTGGTGGTCTTGTTACTATTTTTCTTCAATTTGGGTTTGAATTGTATCCATTTGTCCAAACAATTGTTTCTTTTGCATGCTTTTTTTTGGGTTTCTTGTGACCATTTTATTTTGAACAGAAATTTAAACATACATGATCAACAACATGTACATGTGTGTTTTTGCTATCAGCAAGTAGAAGAAGCTGTTGTTACTTAATGAGTGGATCACATGCATGTATTTGAAATTCACGTAATAATATCTGAATTCTGAGCACTTGTTTGGCTAATACAAAAGAGAACTATTTCGTCGAGGACCGAGCAAACTAAATCCAAAAGTTTTTCTGTACGCCAAATATATATTCCCAACGATAAATACAAAAAATGGAGTCAGTGGCAATAATAAAACATGTGGGTGTGGTTTGCTGCTTAGCTAGTTTCTCCAATATCTCCGTTTAATTAACCAGACACAGCAAAGAAGGTTTCTTTGGTTTCCTCTCACTCGATGATGATCCTACAAAACATAACAAAACAAGCTGAACATACTGACTAGCTTGCTACTTCCAATATATATCGACATGTTTATGTACGGCAAGCACCAATAAAAATCTATCATCATCATCATCACGATATATTTTTTGTTATCTTGGCGAAAACGACATCATGAAGAAATACATATGCATGTTTTGTTGTTGTATTGTCTGTTGATTAGAATATAATGGAATAGAGATTCAAGAAAATATTAACATCTCTCTAGCTAGTTTCTGCACAAATGGGATATTTTCATTTGATATGAAAAGAAAATAGTAGTAATTATAAAGGTATATATATATATATGTAAGGTAGTAGAGAAGAAGGTCATGTGAAGTCTCATCATGAGTTCTTTACTTTGTGCATGCGCTTCGATTTCCTACATGGCAGCAATGTCGCAGATATACCCACTTTACCCTGTCTTTTTCTTGTTTCTTTTTTTTTTTTTTTTTTTTTGTATCCCATAATTTAATTTGCACTACTTAAATAATTTACTAGCTATTAGGTCGTATCTTAATCAAATACTCCATAAAGACTTATAAAATCGTGTTACTAATAAAGCTCTTTCGTAATTAAATAATTTATTTTCTGTTTAGAAAGAAGAACATGTCTCTCCATTCATATAAATTAAATTCATTAACACACTTTTATGTACGAGAGAGTATATCTCGCGCCACTAAAAAGCAAAAAAAACATTGGTTTTTCTTGTGTACTTAACATTTTTATAGTTAATATAGCTTTGATTATTTCTTTGACGCCTGTGATCATTCTGTGATTGTCTCCTCTTACCTTTTTATGTGTATCTGTTTTTGTTTGTTTCACGGTCGAGAACTAATCTGTGTTTGTACTAAAAATATATAGTACTACACATGATCTTTTGTGTAACATCATAACTTAATTTGAATTTCTCGTTTGTCTCCATAGCTTCTTAAAATATATATACAGTATAGTCTTCAATGATAAAAGGACAATCTATAAAAGAAGAAAATCGGATTATTCTTTATTCTCTTATTAAAAGTATACGAATGTCAAATCTTTTTGTGACGATCGTTGCTTTTTTCTTCAACATCATCATATACTCCTCCTTCAATCCGAGTGTTACACTGTTTCTTGATGTCTTACTTTTAAACAATTATATCTCAATGTCAATCCAGCATAGTAGCATAGTGCATTGAAGAAAACAATACATACATGTTTTGTCTTGCAATAAATCCAAACTCCTTTAGATTTCATTGTATGTGTCTTCGTTTTATTACCAAAATTTCTTACAGCAAAACAATATCAGTAGCATTGTATTTTAAAACTAAACATCATGCAGACACTTCCCTCTTTATTTATTTCCTTTTGCTTCCTCAGTGGGTTTTTATTTAAATAATCACAAAGTCTAAAAAACCCACTTCACGTTTTACCCTAATTGCTCCCATAAACCTATACCTTTTTCTACAAAGATTTTGTATATATCATACACTAGAAGACATAGATCAGCTGAGACCAGACCAAACAAAGCTTCGTGTAGGGAGGGGCCTTCTCAAGATGTACCACCACTAGAAGCAGCCATAGCGGATTTACCAGAGCTAAGGTTTGAATTATCTTCATGACTGTCTTCGTGATGCTCGTCGTCCTTCTTCACATTGAGAAACCGGCCGCCACATCCTCTTGGCCGTCTTATCGCATGCAAATGCCGAGATTCATGCAAATATGGCTACATATAAAATCTCAAGATTACTTAATTTACCCTAATTTATGAAGTAATAAGGGGATCATAATCATAACAAAACATGGTTGGTAAAAATATAGTATTTTCTTACCTTACGTGACTTGATGACTTTATTCTGCGATTCAAGTTTTGCTCTAGATTGCCTTCGCCTCAGTATTCCATGGTATTGCTTTGCGTTTACAAAAACAGGTTCCTCGACTGCATCAGATGGCAAAGGAACACCTTGTTGCTGCATTCCCATCAACTGTACATGTACCTGAAAATGATTTGTAATAAGCTGTTTACTACATTATCAAAAAACTCATCGTCGTCGACTGAGTGACTAGTAAGTGATATGGCCTTACCCCAGCATAGGGTTGTGGAGGCGGTGCAAAGATGCTTCTGTAGTACGGATCAGGATACGGGTATTGTCCTGGTGCCTTCAGTTTCAAGAATACAGAAAACAAAACAAAACTAAATTTGTTACTTCTACATTGTATGAAAATGCATAATGCGTCAACAAGTAATTAAATCTACAAGTAGCATTAATCAAGCGAGATGTGATAACATATCTTTTTTTTAACAGAGAGTAAGAAAGTTACGAGTAACTAAACCAAAGATATAGAGTTCTAATGAAATAGTTTGGCAGCTGAGAGATGTATTACCATAGAATGTGTACTCCCCGGGTGAGGAATAGGCTCTGAGTAGACTAAACTTGTAGCTATTGATTCATAATGTCTTCCGGGAGGAGTTGGTGGTTGGAAATGAGAATCTCTCTGTTCTTGTTTCTCATGACTTTCAATATTTTCTGGACAAGTATACACCAAAACTTAACAAGAGAGCACCACCAAGAATGAGTAAGAGCAAACCACATGAACATAAACTATGGATCAAGTTTTAAGTCAAAATCTATGTTATTAGCAAAGTTTCTGATAGAAAACTTAACATGAAATAAGAGATATATAAACATAAAATGAGAAAGAGAGAAGGCAAAACCAGAGAGCTGATGGATTGAAGTCATGACTCATGAGCTTAATGTCCGAAGCAGTATTCTGAAAATTTCCAAAGAACAGAGTCAGTACATGATTCTTGAAAACCTATAGAATAAATTTCAAGAACCAGAATTATCAAATCCCCACAAACCATTAACCTCTTCTTCAAACTAAACAAGTCAAGCCTATTAAACGAAAATTTTCAAGGAACCAAATCAGAAATAAAAACCCTGTAATTCTTACAATCTGACTATAAATTCTAAAACGGCAAAGCCATCTTCTAACCAAAAAAAATAAGAAAGTCAAAAGCTAAGAATTTAAAAACCAGATTGACAAAAGTGTATATATTTACCTCTAACTTCCTATCTCGAATTGAACTCTGCAATCTTGTATGAGGATTTGGAGCCTCTTCTTGAAGAAGAGAAGAAAATGAAGAACAGAGAGAAAGAGAGCGAGAGAGTGTCGTTTTCTTCCCTTGCTCAAGTTATTCCACAGTTTTAATAACCCCAAACTTCACAGCGTCCTTGCCAATCAGCACGACACAGCATGACGTTTTTACGATTCAGCACGTAAAAAAACGTCAGGATTTGTAACAAATGATGCGGATGCAATACCGATCGTACAAGTGGAGAATGAGAGAAGCGATTCAGATTGCACGTAGCAGATGATTACGGTCAGATCTGTATTTGCTGACCGAAGTCTCTCACTTAACTGATTTTTAAAGTCCACGAGTTCTTACCGGACCTACCTCTACCCGCTGCCCGCGACTCTTCTTTGTATTTTCTTCTGTTGGCGTGAGTCATCGATAGCGAAACCGGTTCGCGTTTGTTCGATTTCGAGAGACAAGAAGCTAATCTCGGTTTGGTTTTGATGCAAACTCGGTTTACAATAATACATACGTTTCAGCTCTGATTAAACTGAGCAAAAGCCAAGAAAAAAAAAATCCAAAATCCTTACGTTTTGGTAACCCGATGATTTTGTTATAACTTCATTTTTTGTCTAATCATATAAAACTACTTTAGGGTATGACTCATAAATCGATTCGATTATGTATGTAATATTCTATAACCTATGGTTGGCTTTATTGTAGCACATGAAAAAAATAAGATTATACTCCAAACTTTAAATACATTTCGTCGTTTTCGTGATGTATCATGTCATTACATAAATATTCAGTTGTTATATTCTCTGAGAATATACTCTCTTCTCAGACCAACAAATTTCAGATATTATCAATGTTTGGATACAACTAGAACAACATCAATTCAATTTTATTACGATTCTTAAAATCAAAAGCAGCAAATACAATATTAAAAAGAAGAAGAGAAGGAAAGGTGACTTTAGTCTTAATAGACTTCAACGTGCCACTGCTTGTTCTTCCTTAGCTGAGAAAGCTTCAAATCCCAGCTCTCACCTCTCTCTTCTGCAACTCTCTTTAGCGTATCTTGAATCCCAGGCATCATTCCTTTTAGCCCACAGAAGTAAATATGAGCTCCATTGTCCAATAGCTTGAAGATCTCATCACTGTACTCCTCAATCTTGTCCTGCACATACATCTTTCCACCTTTCTTGTTCTTCTCCTCTCTGCTCAATGCCTTATCATACCTAAAGTTTTCCGGATGGTCTTTTAAGTACTTGGTGAACTCTTCATCATATAGAAGGCTATCGGTGTTGGCCACGCCTAGGAAGAGCCAAGCTAAGCCGCCAAATGTCTTGTTCGGGACGTTTTCCATGAACATTCGACGTAAGTAGCCTCTGTAAGGAGCCACTCCTGTTCCCGTGGCTATCATTATGTGTGTTGCATTTGGATCCTTCTCGGGTAATAGCATTACCTTCCCAGATGGACCTGGTTTCAAAAAGTATATTAAGTAAAAAACTCTTATTCCAAGGGATCTTTATGTATATGATTTAGTTAATTTACATACCGGTGATCTGAATCTTGTCTCCGGGCTTTGAATCACAGAGGAAGTTGCTGCAAACTCCGTTCTTTGAAGGATCTTCTTTGCCAGTCTCGGGATCGTAATAAACAGCTCTGCGTACACATAAACTCGCTGTTTTGCCGTCAAAGGAATCTCCATACCTTGTAGATGCAATCGAGTAGAGGCGAACATTGTGTGGTGCTCCCGGTTTCTTCGGGTTCTCACCCTACACTCACAAGATCCAGTTCATTAATAGACTTAAAGATTGAAAAATGGTGTTAACAATCTAAAGAGAACGAAACCATGTAACAGCACAAGGGACATGACTTACAGGAGGGATCACACCATAGCTCTGTCCTTCCCAGTAAGGAAGGTTACCGTCATGATCAATAACAATGTGACAGGTTTCTCCAGGGGCTTTTGGACCAACGACTCGCTCCACAGAGACAATCTTAGCGGTGTAGGACTCCTTGGGTTTGTACAAGTTCAAAGGAGGATCCTTGGGGTCTTCCAACTCTATAGGAGAGACAGTAACCTTGGAACTACTTGTTTGTTGAACCGACATACATATTGTAGTGTTCGTGTACCGCTTTGCATCTCTTACGTTTGTTGTCTTCTGATTCAATGCTAAAGAAGATGACCATGTCTTGCTGTTAAAGCTTATGCTATTGTTCTGCAGCATAACGAAAATGGTACACCACAAAGCAAGCGATGGATTAAGATCAAACTCAAACAATACATCATGAAGAATATAAAAACACAGCTCAAGCTTGAATCTTTATGTTAAAAAGAGAGATCGGATGCATCACCTTGAAGACAGATCTTCTAAGAGAACGTTCGTTTCCAATAGAAACTGAGACAGCACCAGCCTATATAGGAAAATTCAAAATCCATCAGATTAAAAGCTCTAAGATCGTTAACGAAGTAAAACACAAGCCTAAACCCAGATCAAAGATCATAAACCCCCAAATCAATCAATTCAAAAAATAAAACTCCCTCGTTTTTCTCCGAAAGCAGACAAAGGAACACTACACCCGACTCAAATCCCTAAACAAACAACAATCTCCAGCCATAATCAATCACGAGTTACAAAAAAAAAAAAAAACAATCGTTGACTAAATAATGAGGAAAAATAAAGGAGTGAGGATCTGACCTGAGACACCACAGCAGAGTGAGACATTGTAATGAATCGGAGAGAGGAAACTCAGATTCAATATTTGATCGATAGGAGGAAGATGATGAAGAATCTGGGTTTTATAAATACAGCAGTAAGCAACGCAGCACGATCCTTTGAAACTCCTCAAAGGCCAAGCTTCTTCTTTCTCCCCCTCTTTTGGACTCCTCCAACTGACGCTCTCTCTGTGACTTAATTATTTTTTTCTTCCAAGCTTTTTAATTATTTAATTATTATTTCCCACTCTTTTTAATAATTAAGCTAAACCGGTACCAAATCATCCTAAACCGAATCGAACCAATTCAAATAATTTTGTTTCTCTTTTCTGAACCGAACAGACCAAATATTAATCACCAATAAGCAAATTTCTACAATAATGATCATTCACATGAGAACAACATCTTTATTTTCTTGAATCAATTCACAAAATTATAGAGACAAAATAAATTCTACTTGGTATTAGTGACATTGTTATGAATGTGATCACAATTAACAGAGGAGTTTTGTGTTTTCGGGTAACCAAGAAAATAAATGAGAGCAGAAGCGACAATCAAAGCTACACCGGAGATTCCACACACCAAGCTGCCCACTACCAGCACGTGATTCATCGCGTGATCATCATCATCATCATCCCGAACTTTTGGTAACGTCGTCGTCGTCGGCAGTGGAGATTTCACCGCACTCGGCAATATCGAGCCAGACGGTGATGATGAAGATGTCGTGGACTTCAGGTCATTTGAAGAAGGTGGTCCGAAGAATGTCGTCATCCCCGATGATGAAGACTCGCCTGGTTCGTAGTAGTACTCAAGGCCGTGATCGGACGGTCTTAATTCTCTAGCGTTAATGGTCGTCATTGACTCTAGGACAATGAACACGACCATAACTGAATGTATCAACGATGCAAATACAGGAACCATTTTTTGTGATTTGGAGTTAGATTTTTTTTTGTCTTACGAGTTATACAAACAACTTAGAAGAAGACCTTCCCGTGAAGGAATGCTTTATATGAGAATCCAAACAAGACGAAACGACTCCGTTTTTTGGTTATATTATGACCATCCCGTGATGTGTGCATATCTATTGTCCAATTGTAACAATGCTAACAGTGGCAAACGCCGTCGTTTCTAGCATTGTCATGACAAAAAGCTTCTTTGTTTATTCCACGTTGGCTAGGGAACAGTCTCTCTCTCGACTCTTGTGCTTTGTCTGAATTGGTATTAAATCATTCTCGTGAGTTTCTTTGTCGGAGATTGGCCCTAAATTCACGGGGTTATTATCATTTAACAAGAAAGCAAAAAATGCCCACACTCTCCAGAGTGTAGAAGGCTGATTGTATTTACTTTATTCGAATGAGATGTATACATGAGAGTGATTACTGATTAGTATACAAGAAATGGTAACATTATATATACAGTACATCCCCTTACTTACGCAGTGTGTTTCTCTCATCGATTCAGAAAATAGCTGTAGTGATGTAACAATCTTTAAGAAAAAAAGATATTGGCGTAAAAAAGGTAAAATAACAAGAAACTACTAGTAGCATTTATGTTGAGTGATATGCAAGGTTCTCTATTTCTTGAAAGCAAAGACCCGAAGAAGAATCTTTTAAAGCTTTTTTTGTTTTCTTATCTTTTTTTCCTCAATTGAAAATATTAAATATCTAGAAACAATAGGAACAAGCGTTTCAATACATGTATCGAGGGACAAACCAGGGTTCAACATCTCGCAACCTGTTTCTGTCCACGTTATATGCCATGTAATTTTGCTTACCCTTGCGATATCGATGCTTACTAAATATTGAAGCAATCGCACTAAGTTATCGCAGACACTAGCCAACACCTATCGATATGTCAATTTATCGAGACTAACCACTGAGTTAAAAGAAAGAAAATAAATAGCTCTTGTTTTTTTTTCCTAATATCCAAGTCCAAAATACACAACTATTAAATAAGCTGAATATATATATATATTTTTACAGTTGTATGTTTTGTGAGTAATAGTACTTTTAAAAAGATTATTGTGCATGCGTATTATTTAAACACATTCAGCAACTTTTTTATATGTAGTATTTTATTTATATAATTAAAATATCTACAGATTTTCAATAATTTCTATAAATAATTTTTTAAAATATTTGTAGTTGAAAAAGTAAAACAAATCGTTTGTGCTATCATTTCATCCGGAAAACGTCTATTGTAACAATTTACACCTATTCTGTTAACCAAAAAAAAAAAACAATCTATACCTATTCAAATGGAATTTGTGTTAATTATATCCTTTACCCTTTCTTCAGCATATTTACTTAACGTTTTTTTTTTTGGCAGCCTTAAATATTGATCTAATAATCATCTACGTACATATATATATATAGTAACATAATTCATGATTCCTCACTCCAGCGACGATGATGATCCCTGAAAAAGAAGCTGAGTCGCCGCTTCAACCCCTTCCACCGGTACCATGTGAATCATTTTTGTCCATCCCAAACGAAATCGCTGTGAACTACGTCGCACGTATCTCTAAAATGTATTACCCTTCGCTCTCCCTTGTCTCCAAGACCTTTCATTCACTCATCTCTTCACCAGATCTCTATGCCGAGAGATCTCGATTAGGAACCACCGAGAGTTGCCTCTATATCTGTCTACGGTCTACCAACGTACCCTTCACTCCACGTTGGTTCAGCCTCTGGGTCAAACCTAATCGAAACCAAACCGATGGTAGGATCATGGAGAAATCAAGTGGAAATCTCTTTGTTCCTTTAACTAACCCTTTTCCTCCATATTCAAATTCAACAGTAGTGGTCGGTTCGGAGATATACGTAATCGGTGCAACCATGTACGATGACCTCGAACCGTCCTCAGATGTTCGGGTGTATGACTGTCGGAGTCACACGTGGCGCAATGTCCCAAACATGAAGAGGGAGAGGAGAAACGCGTTTGCATGTGTTCTTGATGAAAAGATTTATGTGATGGGAGGTTGTTCTTGTTACGACAAGTACTCAAGTTGGTTCGAAATGTTCGATATAAAGACTCGGACATGGAGAAACCTACCGGTGATTCCTGACATCCACGTAAGATTAGCATATGACGGGAATATGGATGGAGTGGAAGGGAAGATTTACGTAAAGGATTGTCGTCGCCAAGGTTGGATCTATGATGTGAATGAAGGTAGATGGAGTGTTGAAGAGATCAGGTATAGCAGTACTTATTGGTGGTGGCCAAAGTATTGGTGCGTGATAGGTGATTTGATATATTGTTACTCTTACTTTGGATACATATGGTATGATTTAGAGGCTAAAAGGTGGACAAGATTGGAAGGTATGGAAGGGTTGATGAAGTTCTGTCGTATTCAGGGTCCTCGTAATACTACTTTTGCTCAGAGTATGGTTGGATTAGTTAACTATGGTGGAAAGCTCGCTGTTCTTTGGTATAGGTCTGTTGGTGAAAAGAAGAATATTTGGTGTGCCGTGGTTAAGTTGGAAATATGCCATAATGGTAATGGAAGGGAGATCTCGGGGAAGGTTGAGTGGGTCGATGTGGTGCTTACTGTCGACAATTCGTATGACGTCTTGTGTTGTTTAGCTATTCCGATTTGATAGACTCTTCTTCACTTGTAGAGTGATTCTTGCTTTTGTAAACATGTGCTAATTAATTTTCCCCTCTTAAGAAAACTTTCAAGTACGTTTGTTTTCCACTTTGATATGGGAAGCAAGCTTTTGTCTCCAAGTCAAGTTATTGGAAAATCGGAAAGCCCAATTTAAATTGGGCCTAGACTAGACTAATATAGTCAACAAACGCAAATCGTAGAGATAACATAAGATAAGGAGAGGTCGTCGAGGTGATGACATGTCCTGCCACGTCATCATCAATGGAAAGAACACGAAAACGAATCTCTCTCTGTCTCTCCCTCTTCTTCTTCTTCTTACAAGTTCCTCCCGTAAAACTTTAAACTTCGGTGACACTCAAAACATTGTGAAGTGCACATTTTGCCCTTCTCCGGGATGGCTAGTTACTCTAGGCCTCACATCTGTCAGTGTTTGACTCGGCTAGCTTCCGTCAAAGGGAACGCCGTCGTCACAGTCAACGGGAACCGGAAGCGTACCGGCAGGGAGTTCGTCGACGGCGTATTAAGCCTCGCCGCCGGACTGATTCGTCTCGGCCTTCGCAACGGCGATGTTGTCTCTATTGCTGCTCTCAACAGGTCAAACGCGTCAATTATCTACTAAAATTCTTTTTTTTTTTTCAAATTAGAATCAAGGAGTTAGCCAGTCAGGACTTAGAATTTGGGTTTTAGATTCGAATTGCGTCAGATTTATGAACCTGAACAATGTTATGCTATAAGATTTTCAAGTTTGGTCTTTGTTGTCGTGGTTTCAGTGATATGTTCTTGGAGTGGCTATTGGCTGTTGCATTGGTTGGGGGAATAGTTGCTCCTCTGAATTACAGATGGGTCTGTATCTGTTTTAAGTCCAGTATCTTCTTATTACATTGTGTATGTGTAAAACAAGTTCCTGACACATCTTTTGGTGTTCTTGATGATTTATTGTTGTGGAATGGCAGAGCTTGAAAGAAGCAAAAATGGCAATGCTGCTGGTAGAACCTGTGCTCTTAGTTACTGATGAGACCTGTCTCTCGTGGTGCATTGATGTTCATAATGGAGATATACATTCGTTGAAATGGCGTGTGTTGATGGAGTCTACCTCTACAGATTTTGCGAGAGAAGGCAACCAGTGTATGATCTGTTTTATGAACCATAAATTACAAGAGTCAGGAGATGCAATTGTGACTTTATCTGTTTTTTTTGGTTACTGGCCAGTTTTGACAACCGAGATGCTTAAACAGCATGCGCTGGTGCCTTCCTTAGCAACTTACGCTTGGGCTCCTGATGATGCTGTTGTGATATGCTTCACTTCTGGTACAACATGTTTACTTCTGCCTGTTGTATTTTCCATATTCATCGTCAGTTTACTTGATCTTTTTTTGTTTTTTTGTTGGGAATAGGTACAACGGGAAGACCCAAGGGTGTCACGATAAGCCATTTGGCTTTCATCACACAGTCTCTAGCTAAGATTGGTATTGTTGGCTACGGTGAGGATGATGTACGCTTTTTTACCTCCGGTTATCTCTTTGTGCTCGATGAACTATGTAGAGTTGACTACTTCTGAGAGTAAAGAGTCTATTAAATTTCTCTGTTCATCATGCAATCTTTTTTCTCTGCAGGTGTATTTGCATACATCACCATTAGTTCATATCGGCGGTCTGTCATCAGCTATGGCCATGCTAATGGTTGGGGCTTGCCATGTTCTGCTGCCCAAGTTTGATGCTGCAACAGCCCTTCAAGTTATGGAACAAAACCGTATAACTTGCTTCATCACTGTCCCAGCTATGATGGCTGATCTTATTCGTGTCAACAGGTAAAAAGAGAAATGAACAAAATTCATTGCCCTGAAGTAAATATTGGTCTTTAAAACCGTTGGTGTGCTAAAATGCTTTTACTCAAAAGGACAACGAACAATGGAGCTGAAAACCTCGGTGTGAGAAAGATACTAAATGGAGGTGGATCTTTATCAAGCGAACTCCTTCAAGAAGCTGTGAAAATCTTCCCATGTGCGAAAATACTTTCAGCATATGGTAAGTCATTCTTATCTGGCTTTTTAGTAGCCATTTTTATTAATCTTTTTGACCCTAAACTCTTTGAGATGTTGGTTTTGAAGGGATGACAGAGGCATGCTCTTCGCTGACCTTCATGACTCTCCATGATCCAACAGAAGAGTCTTTGAAAGCGACATATCCTTTGGCTAATGAACCTAAGCAAGGTACATGTGTTGGCAAGCCTGCACCTCATATCGAACTGATGGTTAAACTCGACGAAAATTCATCGAGGGTCGGGAAAATTCTAACTCGCGGACCACACACTATGCTTGGATATTGGGGTCATGAACTAGTTGAGGAAAATGGTGCATCATCAGAATCCAGAAGCAATGAAGCTTGGCTTGACACAGGTGATATCGGGGCATTTGATGAGTTTGGTAGTTTATGGCTTATAGGCCGGTCCAAAGGCAGAATCAAAACTGGAGGCGAGAATGTTTACCCCGAAGAGGTTAGTTAGCTTCCAACACAAGAAACTGCTCTGTATTAGCCTCAAATTGTGCAAGGATTAAATCGATAAAATTGCGCAGGTTGAAGCTGTTCTAGTAGAGCATCCTGGGATTGTTTCTGCCGTGGTGATAGGCGTCATTGATGGTCGTCTTGGGGAGATGGTAGTTGCTTGTGTCCGTTTACAAGAGAATTGGAAATGGTCTGATGTTGAAAACCGCAAACGAGGTTTCGAATTGTCAAGTGAGACACTCAAGCAGCATTGTAGAACACAGAACCTAACCGGGTAAAATATTTCGATAATCTATCAAGCTTTCTAGAGGAATGGCATGTTTTGGTTAGTGTCATGAAATGTATGGACTTGTTTGAACAGATTTAAGATTCCAAAGAGGTTTGTCCGGTGGGAGAAGCAGTTCCCGTTGACAACAACTGGGAAAGTGAGAAGAGATGAAGTTAGAAGAGAAGTTTTGTCTCATTTCCAAACCTTGACTAGCTCTCTCTGATCATTACATTTTTGTAAAAACCGTAACAGTCGTCTATACTTGTATGACAAAACATTGAATTGTTTTTACGCTTGAATGTCCATACTCTTCTTTACAGTTTATTTGATCATAATATTTGAAACAATAATATGAAATATTAATTCAAAAAAATTGAGATATATAAAAAAAGTTCAGTTTTTGGTGTTTACACATTAATAAGTTCAGGATAATACAATACACTTGTCCTTCCAAACGAAAAGAGTGAGTAATAAATGTTCTTTAGATCCTGAAGGGGCTTTTCCGTAAATGCACAAAAGCTACAATTCTATTATGTTCTTTGCACTCCCGCTCCGTTTCCCGAAGTAGAGTTTTTGAGGTCGGTCCGTCTTCTTCCTCTCATTAGAAGAAGAAAACTCTAAAATCGATCTTTCGAAGAGGACGAACAACCATTGAATTAGACTCTGTAAGTCGCTAAGTTGCTTCATCACTTCTTATTATGCTCATTTGGAATGCTTTTTCTTTGTTTTATGTTTTCATAATCTTTGTTTGGTTTCTTTTCAGATCATTAGTTTAGATAAGAGAAAGTTACCTCTTTTGTTTATCAATTGTTTCTATGTTTGGTTTCCTTTGCAATTAGTGAGATTGCTGAGAGTTTCCAAGTTTCTTTGTTTTCTTTTTTTTTTTCCAATTTTCCCGGTTAGTGTAAGTAATTTGGTTTCCCGGTTATTGTAAAGCGTCTCTAATCTTTTTTTTTTTTCATTTTTTTTTTCAGGAATTTGCTTAAATGGATGAAGAGGTTGTGATGGGTGATAATGATGGATCAATCCTCATTAATAACACTGTCATCAAGGAGAATGAGAATCCTAATTTTCATGAGGAAACTTTGCCCTTGCATTCCCACCAAGCGTGTAAAGATGAGTATGAGCATTCGTTGTGGGAGCAAAGCGTGGAATCCTGTGGTAAGAAAAGTTTGTTTCTTGAGAAGACTAGAGAGATTGCTGGTTTGCGTCAGGAGCTAGTGTTGATTTCTAAGTTGCTTACGGGTCATGAAAAAAGGGATGATGATGCTTTGGGGGGTCAAAGAAGAGCTGATCAGTTGCAATTCAAACACTCTGGAAGCGTTGTTTCAGTATCTGAAAATGGAAAGCATGTAGGATCTGTCACGTTTGCGCCTGAGAAGTTGGAGGAGGAATTGAGACAGTTATCGCGTGAACAGTTGATAAACTATTTTAAGAATGAGATGGTTCAGTTGAAAAGAGAGCATGAATGTACGATTCATGAGATGACTGATGAATACTTTAGCATTAAGCGAAGGTACTTGAAGTTAGAGGAGTGTGGTTCATTTTCATCTTTAAAGAAGGACAAGGAGTTTGATGTGCTGCGAAAGAAGATCCCGGATATCATTTTGAAGTTGGATAAGGTACTGTTGAAAGGTGAGAAGACGGTGTTTGAAGGAAAGAAAGATGTTGATATCAAGAGCCAATTGGATTCTCTTCTTCTAGAAAACAGCCAACTTAAAGATTCACTTTTAGATGCTGGCAAGAAGATGTCACATCTTTCTCAGGTTAAGGAAAATCATCTATTTTTGATAAGTAAGCTTGAGGCATATGTCGAAGATTCACATGTTGAAGCTTCTATCCATGAGTATTGCGCGGTAATATACAAAGAAGCTTTGAAGGAAGCTGATAAGAAACTGGGAGAATTGTATATAAATATATCAGAAAAAGAACAAGCTTTGAGATCTGAGGTGCTTGAAAAGGAAATACTACAAGAGGAAATTCATTTGTTGGAATGTCATGTTACGGAGAAAGAGAATTTACTTCAGATATATGTTAATGATTTGGCTACAAAGAGGGAGAAACTTGAGATAGCCTCTCAACAAATTAACAGTTTGCAATATCAGATTGAGCAGCAGGCTATAGTGATTGAAGATAAAAAGAAAGAAGTGAAAGCTGTTTTAGCTAGCGCAGTGGAGAAAACAGAAGGTTACGAGGTGGAGATATATGAGTTGACACAGAAGCTGGAGTTAGCTAGAAACAATATAAAGATAACTGAACATGAAAAAATGAAGTCCGAGCTTAAATTATCATCAACAGAGGTAGAGCAAAAGAGGCTTAAGAGTCAGTTTTTATCATCGGTTATGAGTCTTTCTAAGTGGAGCAAAGATTTTGACAATCTCGAGTGCATGGTAGGAGAAAAGACGATAAAGACAAGTTCTAGGTACACTCAAATTTCAACTTATGCTAGCTTATAATGTTTTCACTAGAGATAGACAATAAGTTATCTAAGCATCTGATTCAGTTGAAATATGACTTATATGAGAATTCCTATGACTTGTAGGCTAAAAAGTATGCAAAGCCAATTAAATGATCTCTTAGATGAAGTTGATGAACTCAAGGTGAGAGAATCGATTTTTAAGCAGCTACTAGAGAAGAAGACTTGTGACCTCCAAAAGGCTGAGACTGAGGTTAGTCTTCACATTTAACTGATGAGTTTTAAAACTTATTTTAGCCGAGTTCATAATTACTTGAGTGGTGTTCAACGAGTATGATTTAGCTTCTTGAATCAGAAACTTGTGATATTCTCTTCCTTCGTATTCCTGAAAGATTGGTCCTTTGCAAATTGTGTTGTTAATATTCTTTGGCCATTTGGTAGCTTGATAATCTTTTTTCGTCTGCTGCTTGAATCATAGGTTGATCTCCTTGGCAATGAAATCGAATCTTTCATGGACCTTCTTGAGAAAATCTATATAGCTCTTGATCATTACTCTCCAATTCTAAAGCACTACCCTGGCGTAAGCAAATCTCCTCTTCCATAAAATTCTCATAGTTTTATTATATGAAGTTTGCAGTGTAGTTTAATACTTCCATCAAACTTTTCCTTCTTTCATACATTGCAGATTATCGAGATCTTGAAGCTTGTCCGGAGAGAATTAAGAGGCCAGTCAAAGAGACTATCAGTCTTTTGACCAAGTTTCTAATTATGATCAAAACAACTTCTTCACGCAAGTTTCATTAGACTTATGTTGTACATATCCAAACCTTCTGTCCATGTATGTTTTTCTTGTTGAGTAGGTAAGTTTAGAAACAACCAACTAAAGATAGAACTTTAATAACAAGAATTGGAATTTGACAACGAGATTCTTATGCGCTGTTGTACTTATGTACCATAACCACAGCAAGGAAAAAAGTATATATCAATAAGGCATGTCTGAAGATCAGTAAGGCATGTCTTTGTACAACAGCTTTCACACTTATAGAGTTAAATCATCAGCTGCATCAACCAAGATCTTATCCATCACCAGCTTCTGCACAAGATACTACAAGAGCCGCGATACGTGCCCACGATGGATCAGCTTATGTCCACCTACATACAGAAACACCACACTAGCATTTTCATTTGGTCTTGGGGTTTTCCTCTTACAAGATATTAAAAGAAAGGAGTTATCTCTCTAAATTTCTGAAGAGATCTGAATGTAGTGATGTGCCCCAAAAAATTATAGAAAGGTACATATAAAAAGAGACACCAAAAATGCCGTTTGGGATCACTAATTATACTCAAAGAAGCATGACATAACAAGAGAGACATCAAGAATTTTACAATTGCTTTACTGGGAAAGCAAAGTTGGAGACTGGTATACTGTATCCCATTGTAGACCAAGTCTTAAAAGCAAATCCAGAGTAGTGGTTGAAGATAGAAGACATATATAGAATCGTGACTCAAAACTCTATTCCGAACTAGTGTTGTATATCTTGAGGTGGAATATAGTATGGGGCATCGAATCCGTATCTAAATGGACCAGCACCACCCGTGCAGTCGCTGTGGCATTTAGCCAGACTGACATCTCCGACCTCGGCGAAATCAAAGATATGGACATAGTTGCTGACCACGCCGGGAAAGGAGCTAGCAGGGACACAGAAAGGTTCAGACTTTGAAAGGAAAATGGTAAGATCTCCGATGTCTTCAGTGTAAACCGCATTTCCTTCTTCATCAAGCTTGAAGACCATTAAAGCTTTTGTTTTCATTTTGGCAATACCGTCAATGATCTCTGTGGTCTTCTTGAACCGCTTTAGCAAGAATGTTTCACCCGTGGGTTGTGACTCCACCAAGTGTTCGCTCGTGCTGCATGAATTTAGAAGTTCGCGTTTGGTCTTGGTCAGCTCGGGAAGGTTTTGATATCGCAACTCCTGAAGCTTGGGTGTGTGCTTGTGTTTGCGTAGATCCCATGATCCAATGAGGTGGCCTCCAGATCCGGGCATGCGAAACATGTCATGTTTCTTTGAAAACATGACTTGGGAAGAGAAGAAACAGGGGTTTTCGATTCTGACGTTGATCCACTGGGAGTTGGGTTGACCCGGTCTACAGAAGCTGAGCTGATGTCCCAAGAACTTAGCAGCCACAACACAGTCCTCTTCCCATGGACAAGGTGAAGACATTGCCACGTTGGTGACGATTTGGGTTTGACAATGAGGCAGAGTTACAAGAGGAGGTAAGGAGATGCGTTTTGGATCTGAATCCGATGCAGCCGGGTTAAGATCGTCTTGGAGACGCAGAGTTCCCTTCTTTAAAGTAGCTACCCAGCCATGAGATGAACCGATCGTTACCATTGCCTCAGTAGTATCATTATAGACCAAATCCATAGGCACCTTCTTTTCCAAATGAGTGAAGTGACATTCATTAGCATATCTAATCACGAGTTTTCCGAGAGCTGGTCCACAAGGATCAGCGCCGATGATGGAACAAGGAGGGGTTTGCAGCAAGGAAGATGAGGAGCCATTAGGGCAAAGAGGAGGAGAGGCTCTAACAAACACTGGTTTCCGAAGGCAGAGCTTCGGAGTCTGGCCGAGAAGCAGAGACATGAGTGTTCTTAGCTAGAAACAAAGCAAAAAAAAACCCTAATTGGTGATGCTAACATCTCCGCTAAAACCCTTTATTAACAGAGAGGAAGGAAGAAACTTGGTCACCAAGTTTTCCATCTCCCAACTTTCTATGGTCTCCAAGAATATCTTCTTTCCATTCCAATCTCATTAACTTGCAACTCAAATGGAGTTTTACAATTGGCTTTCGATAAGGAAACTTGGTCACAAGGTAGGTGTGTATATATCATCTTCTTGTATCCATTTCAACTTTAAATTTATTCTTGCATATGTAAAGCTAAAACGTCATGATTAGGTTCCAGGGATTGAAAAATGGTTTATATGGTTTTCACCATCATATGGTCTATCAAGTTTGATATTCCTTGAAGACTCTTGTGTTGAGTCCCAATATACAAAGAAGCGTTCAAGTAATAAGTTGATAAGAAATTTGGAGAGTTAAAACATGAGAATGTATCAGAAATATAACGCTAACAAAATCACCAAAAGTTAAATATGAATGTATGGCGTTTGCTTATGATATCTTTGGATGATAATCTTACACACACCATAGACTTGTTTTAAGATCCCCTAAGAGATCCTCAAATGGCATTTTTGCCAACCAAGACAGAATTCTGCTAACTGAGGATGAGAGATGATAGTAAAAATATATTTGATGTTTGAAAAGACAAGACTCAAAAACTCAATTCCAACTGTATAACTTCTGAGGTGAAATATGGTACGGGAGCCTGACTCTAACGATACTACTAATGAGGGAGGAATGGGTCATGTTGACCTGTACAATTTCGTTGTCGTCCAAGATAGTGACTTCGTTAGGGACCACGCCGGGAAAGGAGCTAGTAGGGACACAGAAAGGTTCAGACTTTGAGAGGAAAATGGCAAGATCTCCAATGTCTTCAGTGTAAACCGCATTTCCTTCCTCATCAAGCTTGAACACCATTAGAGCTTTTGTTTCCGTGTTGGCAGCACCGTCAATGATCTCTGCAATCTTCTTGTACCACTTAAGCAAGAATGTTTCGCCCGTGGATTGTGACTCCACTAAGTGTTCGCTCGTGCTGCATGAAATCAAAAGCTCGCGTTTGGTCTTGGTCAGCTCGGGAAGGTCTTGATATCGCAACTTCTGAAGCTTGAGTGTGTGATTGTGTTTGTGGAGATCCCATGATCCAATGAGGTGGCCTCCAGATCTGGGCATGCGAAACATGTCATGTTTCTTTGAATACATGACTTGGGAGGAGAAGAAACAGGGGTTTTCGATTCTGACGTTGGTCCACTGGGAGTTGCTCTGACCCGGTCTGCAGAAGCTGAGCTGAGGTCCCAAGAACTTAGCAGCCACAACACAGTCCTCTTCGTATGGAGAAGGTGAGGACATTGCCACGTTGGTGACGATTTGGGTTTGACAATGAAGCAGAGTTACAAGAGGTGGCAAGGAGATACGTTTCGGATCTGAATCCGATGCAGCAGGGTTAAGATCGTCTTGGAGACGCAGAGTTCCGTCCTTCAAAGTAGCCACCCAGCCATGAGATAAACCGACAGTTACCATTGCATCAGTAACATCGCTAGCTTGTTTTTCACTTTCTTCTTTAAACAAGTGAGCCAGCCATGGGTTAACATGGTTATACACCAACTCAAGAGGCACCTTTTTTTCCAAATGTTTATAAGCACTGTCTTCACTGGAAAGATAGACGAAATTTGGTTTTCCGAGACCCGCTCCACAAGGTGTAGCGCCGATAATGGCACAAGGAGGAGTTTGCGGCAAGGAAGCTGAGGAGCCATTAGAAACATGAGGAGAGGCTCTTACCAACACCGGTCTACGCAGGCAGAGCTGTGAGGGCTGGTTGAGAAGCAGAGACATTAATAATGTATTCTTAGCGAAAAACAAGAGAGATTGTTAATACAGAAGACTTGGTGATCTTGTTCACATCTTCTTCGCCCTCAATTATTATTAATACACAAGGAGTAACTTGCCCACCAAGTTTTTTGAAGAATATACGACTGGTATTAAAAATCTTAAGGTAATCAATATTCAAGATATGCGATTAGTATTAAAATCCAAAAGAAGAAATATACAGAACGAGTAAATGTACAGATTCCTAAACATGAGTACACGGTGGTGCTTACCAAATATGTGTACACGGTGGGATACAGACCAAGTTTCTAATTATGATCAAAACATTTTCTTCTGTTGTACATATTCAAATGCTCTGTCAATGTTTTCTCTTCTTGTTAGGTAGGTATGTTTAGAAACCAAAGACAGAATCAGATCATCAAAAAAAAGAATTGGAAATTGACAACGACATTCTTATGCGCTATTGTACATATGTACCCATAACCACAGTAAGGAAAAAAACATATATATCACTATGGCATGTCTAAATGTTAGAAACATTGATTGCAAATAATAATGCTTTACGTGACCGACTGGTTCTGTTGTTAACTTGTTAAGAAGTTCATGGCCAACAATGCTGCTCCAACAGCTGGCTCTACCTGAAGACACATTTATCAGTATACACTTATTCCGTTGTTGGACGAGAGGGAGAGAAAGATAATGAATGAGCGGTAGAATGCTACACCTTTGGTATGATAGTTTGAGCCCCGGGAAAGTATCGGATAATGCGGTTTGAGACTTCTTTTCCAGTGTCCCATTTCCGATTAGCGTTTAGGACTCCGCCTACCATTACAACTGGGAAAGAAGCTGTGCCATCTGCAACAAGATTGTCTGATACTATAAGGAACCAGGTGGCAAAAACATAATAAAAAGCAGAGCCAGTTGGATATGTAATATCACCTTCGCCACATAAACCAAGTCTTTGTACAACAGCTTTCACACTTAGAGCTAAATCATCAGCTGCATCAACCAAGATCTTATCTGAAATTTTATCACCAGCTTCTGCACAAGATACTACGTGAGGAACAAGAGCCGCGATACGTGCCCACGATGGATCAGCGTATGTCCACCTACATCCAGAAACATCACACTAGCATTTTCATGTGGTCTTGGGGTTTTCCTCTTACATGATGATACTAAAAAGAAAGGAGTTATCTCTCTAAATTTCTGAAGAGATCTGAATGCAGTGATGGGTCCCAAAAAATTATAGAAAGGTACACGTTATTAAGACCAACTCATCATTAGTTTTGAAAAATAAGTTACCCGATGAGTTCATCTGGAGAACTAAGTCCAAGTGCTTTTAAGATGGTACTTGTAAGCAGCGTTTCTGGGCCACGACCATCATGAGCTCTGATCACCGCCGTTAAGGCCTGTGCAGAAATTCCATAGCCACTGTAAATAAGCACATCATCATTCACTCAAGTATCGGTAAAGAATCTCCATACATTATAAGAGCAGACAAACATTTGATGACAAAGTCTAGTTCATCGTAAAACTGAAATCGACATAAACCACAATATAGAAAGAGAAGTACCTTCCCCAATCGCCTAAGATTGGTCCTCCACCAGAAGCCCTAGCCTCCTTGCCATCTTCACCAAAGCCATAGGCTATACATCCTGTACCAGCGATTAGAACACAGCCATGGAGCTTTCCCATGGTTCCACTAGCTAAAGCCACTATAGCATCATTCTGAACATAGACCTTGACATGACTAGGGAACATGTCCCTGCAAAACATTATGATAAGAGGGTAAATCAAAAAGATTCGCACCTAAAACTCCCATAGCGTGATTAACACTTGAAATGACTAGTACCACCTTATCCAATTTTCTATTTTTTCCTGGTCCGAGGGATGATTTACACCTGAAACACCTAAGCATACACCGCGAACATCTGATTTATCAGACCCCGATTGTGCAAGTGCCTCAGAAACTACTTGCTCTAGTGAATCCCTTGCTGCAGTTTCTGCATACACGATGCACATTGAAAGGTGACTTTAATAGGGTAGAAATATCCAAGTGGTGCCACAGCTATATCCAAATATTTGCTGCAAGCAAAACCAATACCGCACACAAAAGAATAGATTAATTCCACACAACTAGAACCAAAAACACATCACAATGCTAATAGTCAGCTAAGAACAAACCCATTTTCAATTCCAGAATCAAACAAGCACCAATATCACCATAGGCAAATACCACATTGCAGCAGAACTTGGTTAATTTAGATCACACATACTCATATCAATCATTATCTGAAGTATCACAATCTACCGAAGCAATTATTGCCTAGCGCTAACATGATCGGTCGCAATTCAAGAAACTCCAAGAAAAGTCCTCCATCCCGAAAAGCTGAATTCAAAATTCAAAATTGAGGAGAGAAGATGAGACGAAACCTCCAACGCTGTTGCGATTGGTACAACCGGCGACGGCACGACCGAGGATCGGAAGAGGATCCGGGAAACGATCTCCGAACGAGAAATATGGAACGCAAACGCAAACAGTTGAGGTGGCGCCACCATCAAGGCCTAAGATAACGCCATCTCCGAAGCCGTTCTCGCCCGTAGCTTCTCCATTGCTATGTGGATTCCTCATTTAGAGATAACACCAACTCAGATGAGATCAAGGAAGATGGAGAAATGGTTCTTCGAGAGTTGAGAGAAGTCAGTGAGAAATTAGAGGCCCTTTCGATCGTCGATCAAGATTTGGGAATCGGGAGATACCTCAAATTTTTCAATTTCGTGGAAAGATATATCTCTCTGCCTTGCTGACTTTTTCAGGAAATATATCTTTAAAGGGTTTATCAACGACACAGAGGATAAACAAAACAATTATAGCAAAATCTCTAATACACGTTTTTGCTTTTCTTAGGCATATATTTAAGAGTAGTAGATGGTTTTAGATACCTTATCCACAAGCTAAATGATTATCGTTATTTGAAACAATATTCACCCACGCAAATTAATATTCAGATAAAATTATATACATACTATTCTAAGCAAGTTTGAAGCACAATGAGAAGAGAAACGAATCTTCTGCTTTTGGTTTTGACAAAAGGAAATCCTCCGTACTCGGCAAGCTTGCTTTCACAACTGATGTTCTCGAAGATCTAGCCGGCTTTGTGAGTGCTGGTGATTTTGATTCAGCTCACAAGCCCGTTAATGTAGATTATATGTTGCATGTGCTACTAGTACTAGGACATCTCCTAACCAGATCACATCAACTCAACTTTCTCTTTCATTGACCTGAGACATGAATGACAAAACATTAAAACCACTTAGAAAGCATATCGTTCTGTGGCGTCGTGAGTCCTTACACCTATTGGCTTATACATGGATTAGAGACACCTTTCCTTTCCTTTCAGGTAGCATTAACACTTGCTAAACTTTTTTTTAAAGAATTTGAGTCACTCAAAGTAAACATTGTTCTCTAGAGTACATCCTCTCCTCCTAGAACATGCAATGTGCAGATGCAACTAATATACTCATAACTGTCAATTCTTACTATGCGAAATACATAGCATGTAAGACTGCCAGCAAAATTATTCAATCTTCTGTTTTTAGGACTTCCAATGCATATAAGTATGAACAAATGCAAGATTCCAACTACACAGGGTGTGACTATACCAAGATCACCACTAGGCATCACCACAAAACATCATGACTAAAGATGCAAATCAAACCTTTCACATCAGGAAAATGCAGAAGATTAACAGCATGGTATTTAAAATGGAACGGATGTCATACCCTGGCTCTATTTGTCCATTGTGTTGTATATAGCTGCAGAACCAGTTTTGAAAGGACCCTTGAGGCTGGAAGTTCATAAGTGGGATGTCAAATCCTTTAGGAGCCCAATGTGCTTGGTTTTGAAAGGTGTTAACTCCATGCACCCTTACATTTTTCAAAAGGAACCTTAACCTTTTGCTCCTCTCTATTGCAGAACCCAGTTTTGCTCTACAACGGAGGACTAACTATCTGACTTTCCTCTAGTCACTCACTGAATGGTTAATCCTTTTCTAAGGTTCTACTTATTAGTCAGACGTAAACTAAATTAAGATGAAAGACAGCCAAAAATTCAAATGACAGTATTGTCTCCTAGTTAAAAGCAGGATAAGAATAAGTAGAAAAAAAATCTTCAAGAAATTTGCTAAGAACGGATATTGAATGATAAGTGTCAATTAGCAATTTTCCTCTATTGGGTGAACAAAAAGATAGTTAATTTGATGCAATGGTTCCCAGTTCTTAACTACACTGCATTGCAGCTAAAATATGCTGTTATGGCTTTCATTCTGCTTGCAACAAAATTTTCTTCTATCTGAAATCACAGCAAATGAAAACTGTCAAGAGAAGAGTTTGAAAAAAATTTAGCTCTCCTAGTGAACAATAAATAAGTACCTCAAGAGTTAGAGGAGGTGACGAGAGCCAAGCGAGTTCTTCCACTTGGGCAACATCAACATTCCTCGGTAGAAACATAATGATGTTAGGTGCAATGGACAGGGCAATCTTAAACAAAGTGTACCTACACAATACAAAACTTCAGTAAAAAATCCAACCGGTGTATATCCATTTCCAGAAGCACAAACCTACATTAAAAGGTAAAGAGTCAGTTGTCGTAATGTACCCATCTATCGGTTGGAGCATATCCATCTTGTAACTCTCAACTCCTCTATACATTGGTCCTCCCCATGGTGGTGAAAGAAACACTACATCTCCCTAGCAAAAAAATGATTTGAATGTAGTAGTTTATAACAACAACAAAAGGGTCAAAAAGATTGCAGATAAAACTAATAAAGAGAAGAAGATTACTTTAAGAGATGGAGCTAAGTGGATGAAGTCACCAATGACAAAATCTACACGATTAGCAACTCCATAAACCATTGCATTGTTCATCGCCAATTCAACTTTCACTGGATCAATGTCGATGGCAACAACAGAAGAACATCTATAAATCAATAAAAAGACAGCTTTAGAAAACCATTATAATCACAATTCACACTTCCTCATCTTCTGATTTATAGGGAGAAAAGAAAAGGCTTACACTTGAGCAAATTGAATAGTGTTACCACCAACGCCTGAGAAACAATCAATCACCACTTTGCCACGACATCTGTCAGCTTGTTTGATTGCGATCTCTTCAGGGGTCACAGAGTACCATCCTTCCTCGTCCATTTCGATACCTTGGTCATATTTTGAGAAGAGATCGTAACGTTGAAACCAGTACCTACTGATCTTAGGACTCGTACCGTTTCTTTTCTTTATCGATGATTTTATCACTGTAAGGCAGAAATACGAAGCAGTAAAGTTAGGGTTTTTAGGAATCAGAAAATTTGTCAAAATGTCATACAGATTGAAGGAAGCGCTGTATTTAGTTATTTACCTTTCTTCAAGCGCGATCGTCTCTTGGCCTTCATGGAATGTAGCTCGTGTTGTGTGACTCGTCGTGTTGTGAGTCAAAGAGTCCACTCGTCTGTTCAGTTCAACGCCTCCGATGCTCCGACAAGAGAGAGTTGTAGTATTCGATTGTACCGGAAATTGAAAAATTCGGTTTCGGTTATTATTTAGATACCGGTTTGAAAACCGGACCGCAGTATCTTCCCGTGAGTAATATCGTCGAACACTTGTGCTGCTACTCTTCTTCAACTCAAATCTCTTCCTTTTGGTCTCCAGTAAGATATTTCAGGATTTCACTTAGAACGGTTCTGCTGAAGATGGATAGGACTACTTTTTTAAACAGGACTTGCACTGGTGACTGGTCATCTTCTTTCTCGAGATTCTGTAAATTTGATCCTTTGGGGTTTGGGCTATAATATTGTGCTTCACTTTTCAGCTTATATCATGGAAATTCAATCACTACACCATTCCTGTCGAGTCTTTGAAGTCGTACTGTCTTATGGTAGTGTTATGTGTTGTGTTTGAATCTTTCTTATGTTTGTTCCTTATTAAGAGTTGCTTCGTTAAATTGATTAAAACTTGTTATGTTGTGGGTACCTTCTTTGTTTTTTCTCAGAGGTACACCACTCTAATATTGACTGCCTTTATAGAGAGTGAAAATCCTTGATGTGGAGTATCACAACTCCAAGTTTTCACTCACCTTTAGGTTTCGAGTTTTGGTTATACTTAAGATCATTGCAATTTTTATGAAGAATATTGCAACTTCTAAGCTGATACTTTTGATTTTGTGACAACTGCTGTTTCACATTTATCTGATTGTATATGGAAGTGGAACTCTCTTGGAAGATTAGGTGACTTCTGTGACCAGTGTCTCATGTTTTTTACTAATATTATTTGGTCTTCAACTTCTATCTCAATGTATAGAGATTTTTTTTCCTGCTTTGCTTACTCACTATTGTGACTTAGCTTTGGTTTTTCACTGGTCCATACATTTCTCCTGCTTCGTTCACCCATAAGTAGGTTCTGATAGCTATTTTGTGTCTTTCTCCTCTTGTAGTCCGTATGTATGTGTTCTGATCCTAACTGTCATTTTCTTGCAACAACTAATCCACTTTTATATGTGATACTAAGTATTTGCTGTGTAATCTGTGTGATACTTTACTGCGATGGAGATTTTTTTTGGCTGAGATTATGTTGTTTTCAGGGTATACTACTTGGTGCAGTTGTGGCATCGTAGGCTATGTCATTGCATTTGCATATCTTACATCCTTACTGTCCAACAAGGTATTCTTCTCTCTTGCTGCATCTCCGAGATTAAATTCTTTAACGCAAGTGTTAACCAAATTCTGTAAAGCAAGTGTTGATTAAACATACTGCCAACTGAGATATGTATATAGAATAACATTTTGTGAGACCATTCTCCTTCTGTTTGTTCCTTGTATGACCATTCCATTTGAGTCTATACTACACAGTAATTATTTTTCCTTTTCTTAGCATCACAGAAATCACTGTGACAGTGTAGTGTATGCTTTAAGATGATTTTGTGTGTGTTTGTTTTCATGATGGTGTTTTTTTGACGAATTTAAATTGTGTTACCGAAAACAGAAAAAAAAAAAATTCTGGTTTCTTGTGAGGTATTAGTCTAATGATATAATATATACGGTTGCTTGCATAATCTTTTGTTTTGTCAACATAGCAATCCCTTAACAGCTAGAAGCAGCTCACGTGACGTGATACACAGCATGAGATATCTACTAATCACAAAAGTCAAATACACTAATACTTCCATGTTTGAATCATTATAATGGCTGAGTTGGTAGTATTAGTCAGAAGTAAACTAATTATAAGATAGAATAGTGGTAGGATTGTTTCAACAATTATAACTTAGAACATCTCTCCAATCTATGGTTCCTCTGCTTCCATTTTTTGAGTAATTATAGGTTTTAGGGGGTATATTCCGTTGTACTACAGGATATTTGTTGTTTCTAGTTTTTTTTTTTTTTGTCTTTTTCCTCAGATAAATCTGAATATTGATTTGAATTGGTCTGCCTCTGCCATGGTTAGTTCTGGTTTAACCTTATGTGCGTACATGTTGTGAAGTTTAAACTAGAAAAAGTGGGAGGATAGTAAATTAAGCATATGAGCCAAAAGTCAAACAAATAAAAATACAGTAAAGGAGCAAGAGATTTAAGTAGTTTAAGTTAGTTATTCTCACGTTCTTTAACTAATAAGTAGTGCTTTTTATCCTTCTAAAGTTTTCCAAGCGTTAAGTTGCAGAAAAAACCAGAGAGAAGGGGGAGAAGTAGAGATCTTTTCTCTTCTCTTCACATTTTAAAGGTCACTCGAATTTGTGTGTGTGTGTTTTTAATAACAGTTTTGTATTTTGCTGTTTGTAAGAGATGATGAAGAGGCAATCTTCATAAATTATCCTGAGTGATTCTCGTTTGGTTTTTTGTCTTCTGACGTTTGTTGTCTTGATCTCTATTCAGGTTTTTTGGTCACGTGAGAAGAAACTAAAGACATGGCGTCGTGGACTTCATCTGAATTCCTCTATGAAGAAGTAAAACCACCAGGTATCCGTTTCCTAGAACGTTTCAAGCGTTCAGGCAAACTCTCCTTCAAGCAATATCAAGCACTGGTCTTTGGCTTGACCTTCATCGCCTATATTGCCTTCCACGCAACCCGAAAGCCGAATAGCATTGTCAAAGGAACACTTTCTAAACAACCAACCGGACATTTCAAGGGGGCAGATAAAGGTGGATGGGCTCCTTTCGATGGTCCAGATGGAACAGCATTGCTTGGACAAATCGATTTGGCCTTCCTCTCTGTTTATGCGGTTGGAATGTTTGTGGCCGGTCATTTGGGTGATCGTTTGGACCTCAGGACGTTTCTAACAATAGGTATGATCGGGACAGGAGTGTGTACCACTATGTTTGGATTCGCTTTCTGGGCAAATATCCATACTTTCTACTATTTCCTTGCTATTCAGACATTGGCAGGGTGGTTTCAGTCTATTGGATGGCCTTGCGTGGTGGCGGTTTTAGGGAATTGGTTTGATAAGAAGAGGAGAGGTGTGATTATGGGTATATGGAGTGCTCACACATCAATTGGGAACATCATAGGGTCTTTAATTGCGACAGGGCTTTTAAAATTCGGTTGGGGATGGTCTTTTGTTGGTCCAGCTTTGCTCATTACGTTTCTTGGTGTTGTGGTTTACCTGTTCTTGCCTGTGAACCCTCCTGCTGTTGAAGCTGAGAGAGATGGGACCGAAGTTGATTCCACAATGAGACTCGGTGACACCATTACAGAGAGTTTCTTAAGCTCTAGGATGAGTACTGGATTCGATAGAAGAGCTGTTGGGTTCCTAGCTGCATGGAAAATCCCCGGTGTTGCACCTTTCGCCTTCTGTCTCTTCTTCACCAAATTGGTCTCTTACACTTTCCTCTATTGGCTTCCTTTCTATGTAAGCCAGACTGAGATAGGAGGAGAACATTTGTCACAAGAGACATCCGGTAATTTATCGACACTCTTCGATGTTGGAGGCGTTGTAGGAGGAATCTTAGCCGGATATTTCTCTGATCAGCTGGACGGGAGAGCAATTACAGCAGGAGGATTCATCTACTTAACAATCCCAGCTCTGTTCCTCTACAGAATCTACGGTCATGTCTCAATGACAATAAATATCATCCTCATGTTCGTAGCTGGATTATTTGTTAATGGACCTTACGCTCTCATCACAACCGCGGTTGCAGCTGATCTCGGTACCCACAAATCGCTAAAAGGCAATGCAAGGGCTTTGGCTACAGTCACAGCTATTATAGATGGAACAGGGTCAGTTGGTGCAGCAATAGGACCAGTCCTGACAGGTTACATAGCTGCGATAAGCTGGGATGCAGTGTTTTACATGTTAATGACAGCGGCATTGATCTCAGGATTGTTGCTCACAACCCTTATTATAGGAGAAGTGAAAACTTTGTTGTATGGCTCATCCGAGGAAGATGAAGTTGATGCTGCTTCTGCACCAAGACCTCCCATTGATGTCCTCCTATGAGATATCAACTTTTTTTTTTATGTTTCTTTAAATTGTTTTACAATCTGACTTCTGGACCTGACTTTGTTCTTTTGTCATTTGTATTCTCTCATTTTTAAGGTTTGAATGAAAACAATCTACCCTTTTTTGGTTTGTCAGTGTAATGTTGTATAACCCAAATAGGATAACTTGTACAAAAAGTTATCTATGGTATGGAATAATCTTTGTGTAATAAAGATGTTAAAACCCAAACATGGAGATTGGTGGATTATTCTAAATGTGAACAAATGTTTTTTTTTCTAAGTGTACTTCTAGGGACGGTACGGACCAATCTCAACAAAACCATATCGAAAAGGACAAAAAGGACCTTACGGTGTCTAGACGCAAGCGTAGGTCGAAGGAAGGGTAAAATTGGAATTGTAAGTAATGTTATTAAATGAGAGTGCTGATGATCAACCGGACAGGTGCATGTGACCCACTAATCTTCCCCCCCCCCCTATTATTATTTATTTTTTTAGCCCACCGCTCTCATCTTTTGTCTCTTTCTTCTCTTCTTTTATTTTCTTTTATAAAGTTTTTAATTATTTTTATAGTAAGAATGATATTAATAGTACTTTTTAAAGAAAATATAGCTACAAATGACATTTTGTGTTACAGATTTTTTTTTTCTTTTCTAACTAATCATAAGAATAAGAGGAATTACCTTATTGGCAGACTGTGAAAAGAACATAAGCATTCTTTTTTTCTTTCTTTTGTAACACTTTTTTGTTTATTTGTTTGTGGATTTCTAATTTCTCAAATGGTGTTCTAACATAACTGAAATCGAATGTATATTTTGATAAGTTGAAATACTGATAAAAATATAACATAATTGTAAGAAAATACTGATATAGTTAAATGAATAACAAAATCTTATAATGATTATTCGAGTCTTATACTTATTTTACTTCATTATAAGCTTCAAAAAATTATCAGTCCGCTTTATTTGTTGCTATTTATCATTTGCCATCTTGAGGTTTATTTCATGTTTTCTGTTTATATATTATATTATATTTTTCCAGGAAAACAAA